GTTTTAAAATGTTCTTTTGAATCCTGGCACGTAGGGGAAATGCAGGTAATGTCGGCCTAAGTGTCCCTAATTTGGGCTCATACATAAATTCAGCAATGGACTAAATTTTCAATAGCAACCAAAAATATCCATAAGTAACGTCCCAATAACGCGTTCATCTAGATAAAATTGATAAATAGCAGATTTTTAGCGATGGGCCCAATATTAGATCCATAGGCCAACATTAGCGACATTTCCCCTATTTAGTTTATGTTTTAAAATTATAACAAAGTATTTGGACTGGTCTCACCATGTTGATTTGATCCTCCAATCCATGGGTTCCGTAGTTTTGTTTTTCTCTACGCTTTGCATCTCATTTCGTGATTCACCTTGGTCGTAATACTTCCAGTCTTGGGCGTATCCAGCGAGGCATTTTTAATATTGCTCACAATCTCCGACACCGATAGCGGAAAACTTGCTGATTCACGGCAATATCGGCCACCGAATCACCACCAAAACTCGCGACGGACACATTATCAGCATGTTCCCTGGCTAATTCACCAACCGGACCGGGTTCAAACTCGCCCACGGTGACGAATCTCTCAATAGAACATAATTATACGTCGAAAATGTGACATCCGAACTCGGAGAAACGGGCTCTCGGGAGGCAATATACGACACCGAACAATGAAACTGAAGCTGCGTCGTAGATTTTGAAGGTTAGATTTTAGGTCAACCGAGTCACTCAAGGCAATCACAGTCAAAACACGATATATCACTAAATGATAACTTTATGGACACCTGAAACTAAATTTCAGCAAACAAATTAACAAATTTAAAGCAATAAATATTTAATTCGCGGACCAAAAATACACAGCAAAAGATAAACACGTCAGCTTTCAAGCGCGGCCTACTGCGATTCCAACTAACTTTTTCAGTATATGTTTGGAGAATATCCCGGCCCGGGTACGTTCAAAGACCTTTCGCAGGAAGATTTTAAATCCTTCAATACAGAATAAATTCGGGAAATTTTCAGAGGAAACATGATAAACTTCATTATATTTCCAGCAGATCTCCTGCAGAAAACTACAGCAAAAGATCTGGACTCTGAAACCCATGCCCATTGAAGATTGTAATTCAAGGCTAATTTAGGAATTTTACGCTTTGTTCAGAGAAAAAAAAAACTGATAACTGGAAAACACTCACCTCACTAATGGTCGTGGACAGATCCAGATCGGCCCTTCCACGCTCGCGCCAGAACCGACGGATGATGCGATCGTGCGGCGACGTCATTGGCACGTCTCTCGGATAGTTGACAGTCTTCCGCACCGGTGTCTGCCCCGTCGGTTGATACGACGTCAGCTCGTCCCGATGGAAGCGATCCACCTGTTCGCTCAGTTCGGCCAAATTGGCGCTGGTTTGATTCTGATAGGAGGTGATATTCCGCTGGAGCTGCTTGTTCAGGGCAATCGTTGTGTGGCGGAACTGGGACTGTGCTGCAGATTCGGAGTTCAATTTGTCACTTAACGCTTGCATTTGCGACGTATGGCTAGTCGAACATTCCGCCTGGTGCTGTTCGAACTCGGAAGAAAACTTTTCCCAACTCTCGCGAGAAGCTTCCTCGAAGCTTCCGAGCAAACTGTTCTGTTGGGTGACGGTTTCTTTCAGCTGAGTGCCTAATGATTCCACAGGACAGAGAATATTATTTTGCAGACGGCCTTCGACGATTGCTTTATGTTCCTGTCGTGTCTCTTCCAGCTGCCGAGAATTCCGTTCTAAAACACCGATGCATTCGGTCTGGTTTCCGACGTTTTTGTCAACAGCGGATCCATTGTTCGCGATCAGTTCCTTAACAGAAGCTTTTGTTTGCGCTACATTCTGACCAACCTCCCGCAGACGATCCAGACCAGCTCGTTCCGCTTTGACTTCCTCGCACATGGCCATCAACTGGGTCATTCGTCTGTCGTAAGCTTGCTTCGACGTTTCAACGAACTCTTCGATTCGAGTTTGGCTTTCGCCGAACCGATCGACCAGTTGATCCATGTCGAGGAGGAGCGCTTTCTGGGAAGCACAGAGCTGTAAATTTTGCTCTGCACTTTCCCGGCATGCTTGCCAGGTGGCGTGCAGAAGTGCTTTATGCTGCTCATCCTGTTCGGCAATTGTTTTTTTGAGAGACTGGACGTTAGCTGTGATCGTCAGTTGCAGGGATTCAACTGCCCGTTCAATCGTTTCCGAGAACGTTTGTGCCACTTTCAGTTGTTCTGAGCTCCAGTTGCAATGATCGGCTCGAAAGGTGGTCAGCAGTGAGGATCCCTTCGACGACATACTCCCGGATAGGGACTCGAGGGATGTGATTTTTGATTGGACGTCCCGCTGTAAAGTTTCCTGATTTGAGAGGTAGTTATCTGAAACGAATCTTGGATTATAAGTCCTGAATTGAGCGAATTCCGAGCATTAACTTACCCCAATCACTCACAATCGAAGACGATATTTGGTGGCAATTTTGCGTGAGATTGGCGACATTTCCTTCCATTGCCTGCATTCGAGTCTTCAGCTGTTCCACAAACTGTTCACAAACACTTTGATTCTTATGATCCGTTTCTTTTCTTCTATCGATCGTGTCCTGAAAGGCAAAACAGACATCTCACCATGGTACCCTGTCAATCATGTCAACCCTTCGACTTACATGCAACCCATTGGTATCTTGCTGAACTGATTCCACCACCTCAATCAGCTCCTTGGCTTGATTGGTCAATGCTTCCTCGGTCTTTATGTGTCTGTCGAGAACTACCTTTTTCTCCGCATAGCGTCGCTTCGTTTTGTTAAGAAAGCGCTTCGTCGTGGTCAGCTCGTGCTTCGTGTGGCACAGATGGTCCTCCGTGCGGCGCAGCATATCCTCCTTTTCGATCAGATTCAAACTGACCTCCTTGAAAATCGACTCCTTCTTGGCCAAATCCTCCTTCAGCACCTTGATCAGAATTACTTTGTCGTTCAGTTCCTTCGTGGTCGCTTCCGACTTGTACAGCATCTCGTTGTATGTCTCCTCCGGCAAATAGATTCCATTCTTATCTCTGGTAGCCAACAGTTCCCGCTTGAGTCGATCAATTTCTTCCGTATATTCCTTGATGACCGTCTTCTTCGACAGCTTTTGATTCGCTTCCGGTTTATTCTGTATGTTCTTCGCCCGATGAGCGTACTCCAGTGTGCTCATCGTTTCCTCAAAGTCCTTATGCCCTGGAGACACGGTCGCAATGATCGATGTCTTGGTCCTTCCGCCGAGCGATTCCTGCAGCAAACGGGTCAACTTGGACTCCCGATAGGGCACGTGCGGCGTCCGTTCGACCAATGCCGTAATCACGCGACCCAAAGTCAACAGCGACTGGTTGATGTTAACCGATTCGCGCGTTCGGATTCCCTTCTCGTTGCCGGCCTTGGTAATGTTCTCGCTTCCGGCCAAATCGACCAGGTTGAGCTTACCGATTTTGAGCAGTTCCTCGCCGTCCATGCCGTTCTCCTTGATGTGCACGATGATGGAGAAGATGGTGTGCGAACGGGAAGACTGGGCGTTCATCAGGGTGGAAGCCGTCCGGCGACGTTCCTGACCCTTGGCCAGCAGTTTGTAGACATCGTCCTTGCTGTGGACCGGAATTTCCTCCAACCCTGGAATGAATGCAAACGGGAAAATCACGGGGTTGATTAAATAATGGAAATGGAAACTGAAAACGGGAAAAAGGTCCACGGGTCTTCAAGTCCGTGTCTAGAAGAATTTAATGAACTTAAGGGTTAAAAATTGGACATTTACAAGGCTGGTAGTGATCAATGCTGTCAACAATTGTGATTTTAGTGACCATGTTGAAAGCAATAAGTGACCAAATAGTGACTTATAGTTGTAAAAAAAAAGTGACTTAAGTGAAGAAGTTTGATGCTTTAGACGTATTCAATTAATAACTCATAAACACTTCCCGAGCTAAGCCGGATATCTTCTTTTTTAAATTTAGGATTAATTCATAGTTTGATGTTATTTTCACATCTGAGCGTGCATTAGCGGAGTGGAGCAAACTTTGCGTTGAGAGAGACTAGTACTTTTCTCCCTCTCGTACCTTCGTAAAATCTCGCCCCGCGCGTGAAATATCGCTCAGGACGGAATCCACCTTACTAGACCCTCTCTACCTGGAACCATATCGAGCCGACCTAAAAACTCCAGTAGGCGATGGCCAAGAAACGATTTTTTTCCATTCCATTCCTGACGTTTCACAATCAAGTTGATCAAACCAGAAGTTCCTCCATCAGAGGCAAGCTTCAAGCGTAAGAAAATGTCCGGCCGAACGGAAATCAAGTCCCTCATCGACCAAGGCTACGATCCGCTCCACACGGAACACTGGGAGGCCATCGAGTTTGACGATAAACTGGATCACCTCAGCCTGATTGATCAACGGCTTAAAAGCTTCCGGAAACCGGATATGCAGGTTCGTATCGGGGACACCCATTTCGACTGCCACTCGCTGTTGCTCCAGTGCTATTCGGAGGCGTTCGACGAGCTGGAAAACGAACGGGCGGTGATTCTGCCGCAGGAAAAGGTAACACCAGAAGCATTCCAGATCATATATGCCTGGATGCTGGCACCCAAGGCGGACATCAAGAGGGAGCACTTCGTTGAGGTCTTCGTTGCAGCGGAATATCTACGGATAAAGCATCTGATCAACCAGTGCTGGATCTGTATGGATAGCATCGAGGCACTTGTGGAGGACCGTGCCTTTCTGTTGTACATCGAAGCGGCACGGTTCCAGCAAACCATTCTTCAGAATATGCTTCTGAAGAGGATCTGCAAGTTCTTTCTACCGTTGGTCGCTTCAAGAGAATTCATGCAATTGCCACTGGAAGATCTGAACATCCTGCTCAAATCGAGTTACATTGGAGTGTTCTCCGAGGCGGACGTCTTCTATGCGGCATGCATCTGGCTGCTCGAGGATTGGGAAAACCGACAAGAACATGTCAGCGAAGTTATGAATTTGGTCCGGTTTACCCTGATTCGTCCGAGCTTGCTAGCCCAGTTGAACAGCTTCGATGCGGACGAGCGGATCCATGATATTTTGAGGCACGAAACTACCAAGTACCTGGTGGCGCAGGCTTTGAATTACGCTTTTTCCAGGTAATCTAAACCGAACGTAATAGCTGCAAATGATTCAAAACAATTATTCATTATTTTCAGCAAATCCTTTGCAGAGATGTCCGATCATCGCCTCAGTAGTCGCAGAGCAAACCGCGTAGCAATACAAAAGCTTGCAGATCGCACTTGGCTGGAAGATTTGGACGCCTTTAGGGAGGAAGGTGAAATGGGAATATACGCCTTCACTCCGGAGGATTACAGCTACGAAACTTTTCTGGAGAGACTGGGCCATTTAAGTCGGGATCGTGACTGCTGGAAACGCTGGCAGAAGGTGGAAATAAATGTCGAATCGCTGCTAACTCCGCGGATCAGTCTACTGAAAACACCGAGCGACGAACACGGAGAAACTTCCGGAATATACTGACCTGCACGCTTTATCTTCAGGAACCCCCAGCAGCTTTCAAATCTTATAAAGTGTAAATTACAAATATATTTTATACTACACCTACCTTGCACGATAACCGATCCCTTCTTGTTGACATCGTCGTAGATACGAATTTTGACCGTATCATCCGTGGACAACAAATCACACAGTTCCTCGTTGTACAGCTCCAGATAGGAGATACGCATCGAAAATTCCAACTCCGTCATGCGTAGCTCGTCGAACAGGTGGTTCAGTGCCCGCGGGATGACTCCCGTCTGGGTGTCATCGTCCCACCCGGAGCTCAGTTCCGGCTGTTCCTCGCCCACCATCGTGTACGTTTTGCCGGTGCCTGTTTGGCCATACGCAAACACGGTACAGTTGAAACCCGCCAGCACCTCCTCGATGTACGGGGCCACCACGGCATTGTAGACTTCATGCTGCTTCGACTGTATGTCGAAAGCCCGATCGAAGGTGAACCTCTTGGAACTTCTGGTGTCCACAAACGTCGGTTTCAATAGCACGTCCCGATTCGATACCACTTCGACGACCTCCTGGGAGCGAATCAACTTCTCCCGGGTGTTTGTTGGTCTGCAAAATAATCCCATTCCCATACATCAGAAACATCCCCCAACCCTAACGAATTCCGGACTCACCTGACCCTTAGGTAGACCTGAACATTCTGGTTACATTTGAGCGGTTTTCCGTTGCTCGTATTGTTTCCGCCGCTGGCATCCATGTTACTGATGCTTCTTTTGCTAGTCGCTTTTCCGGACCCACACGTCTGCAAATCACTAGCTCTTCTAGCTCCCGCGGAAGGGGACAAAAACCTTCTGTTGATAGACGAAATTATGACTTATCTTAGGGGCTTTCTTTGCCAGAAAATCTTGTTTCCAAACTTTTACACCGAAAATTTCCAACTGCTGCTGCTGCGTGTTTGATGGCCGTTTGGAATTTTTTGATTGGTGACGAATGAACTCAAGTCAAGGAATGAATATTTTCGTTTCGTTAAGTTCATTCTCGTTACCAACCTTCCCGGCAAGCATCATGCCTCATCGACCTAGCTTTGATGTCACCGAGTTGTGGCCGTTTTTCAAAATAAATATTTCCGGAGTAGATTGTAATTAGGGCGAAACTTGAAACGTGGAAACGTCTGGAGAAAAACAGTTGATTGAAGTGTGTTGAAGTATGTTTTTGTGGGTGTTAGCACAAGCTGGCATAGTGACTTACCCCCCGCCCCGTATGACAAATAAGTGCTCACTGCGTGTTTATGATCATTTCTTCGATTATATTTTATATTTTATTGCAATACCTTTCGTGGACCTTTCCTAGCATCGTAAGGATTTGTTTACTTTGCACGATAGGTAGCCGGTTTGACAGTTCAATAGGTAGACTTGGCTTCACTCTTGGCGTGACTCATTAGACTGATGCAAAATTTGACTTTCTCGCTCCACAGTGCTTAAATGGTTTCAAATCGGGTCCTGATTAGCCACCCAAAGTTACAACTCATTTGGTTAGAAACAGCAAGCCATTTGAAGTTTACATGTAAATTACTATGGGAAATCTCAACTTTTTGTTCATTGCCTTCTAGTCTTTTTCCATATTGAGCTGCGAAACAGTTCGATAGCCATAATAGAAAATTTTTCTCAGCTACAACTTTGCTGAAGATCGTTTCTATGTAAAACGAGACAGGAAAAAGTTATTATATACTAGCTGAGTGTGCCCGGTCTTGCTCGGGATTCAATATTAGCTTGAGTTTATGCGCCGATTTAAAAAAAAAAACATGCTATATTGTACGTAGCCCCCCTCCCCCTATTATCTAAGGGGCTACCCCCTATGATTATCTCCTTATACCCCTACACTCGCCCCCACATGCCTAATTTGGTTCCATTTGCTTGATTAGTTCCCGAGTTATGCAGAAATTTCTGTTTCATTTGTATGGGAGCCCCCCCTTACAGAAGGGGGAGGGGTCTCGAACCATCATAAGAACCTTCCACGGCCCCAAAAACCCCTGTACACAAATTTTCACGCCAATCGGTTTAGTAGTTTCCGAGTCTATAAGGGTCAGACAGACAGACAGACAGACAGAAATTCATTTATATATATATATATACATATATAGATTTAAGAGATTGGTAAACTTATGACATGATCAAGCAACTGCTCTGTAGGCAACACTGTATTGTGAAGTGTGACATAGTAGCCATGATGTTGTGTCCTATTCAACGCCTCAGAAACACCAATGTTGCCTGCTGAGCAGTTGATTGAGCATGATCATAAAACATCAGCTCATTGAACCATTGATAACTTTCGATCCTTACACACTCATTTTTTATTGCTGGAAACCAGCAAAATTTTGCTGGATTTTACCGAGCTGTATAACCAGCAATCCTTCCAGCAAAGTCAATTTTGCTGGCTTTCCAGAAAATATTTTTTTACAGAAGGTTACTGGAAAATCAGCAATTTCTTTGTTGAAAAAAATGAGGTTGATTTTGCTGGAATTTCAGCAATTACGCAATTACGAGAAGCTTTTCTCGTTTTAATAAGAAAAACAGGAAATCAATGCATCAAGAGAAATCTCTTAAACCCCTCTTTTATTCAGTCCACACTAAGATTTTTTTTACAGGAGTCAGTATTTTTTACTGGGTTTTTGAATTGCTGAAAAAGTCGGTAAAAATTCAAATTACCGTTATCCGTAAGAAATCAATGAAATCGACCAATTTTATTTTCTATCATTATATGGGGTTAACAAAACTATGTATGTACAAGTTCAGAACAAATTTTCTCATTAATAAATTTTCCATAGATTTTTAAACTTTTACCGAACAGTTCCGTAATTCAAAAACTCGGTAAAACCATAGAGGTAACTCTAAGACCACTGGGTCCCGAAGAAAATCATTATTATTTTTGGCTCACTCAGTACCAGAACAACGGTCCCAAGCAGTCCCAAGCAGGGTCCCAAGCTTTTTCACTCACCCCTGCATGTTCTGCATGAATCCACACACCCCTGATGTTATCAGTCAAACTTTCATAGCGAATCAAAACAAACATAGTGTAGTAATAGAATTTCAACTAGAATAGGGTACGTTAATCGTTTGCTTGGGACCAATAGGCTACTAAAGTGGTGAGCCAATTTAAAATCGTTAGTTTCGTATTGATTGTTGGTAAAACCGTCACTGACTCGATTAGTGTGCCGTTATTGAAATAACACTACACAAAACTATTGATTACTAGATTGATTATCTTTAAGTTCTTCTCAATTCGCACGTAAGCATCTTCTCCATGTTTCTACCGAATTTATCTAGAATAAAAGGCAATCTGTTACTAGATAATATTTCCTTCAAAATATTCCCCTGTCTTACCGTTATTATTATGCAAAATAGGTATAATAGCCAAACAATTATAATCCAGTTAAAATTTTACAACGCAACGCTTTTTATAAGCGGTCTTCCAACTAATTAACTAGAACCACAAGTCTTTTTGACAGTTCATTCTTTGCTGGTTTTCGGCAAAAACAACGGATTACTGGATTTTCAGTAATTAAAAAGTTGTTAGCTGTTATTTCAGCTAAAATCGTTTTGCTGGATCATTTTCAGCAAACCGTTTTGCTGGAAGATGAAAACAGAATTTGGTGTGTATATTTGATCGAAAAGTGGTTCAGCAAAGTTGTAGCTCAGAATATTTCCTACAAGTACAGTTGATAGCTTTTGAAGCAGACCAGGAAGCAGACCTATATGGTGAATTATTAGATAGACATGAACAAAAATCTTGGTTTTACCATAGTTATTCCCATACAAACTTCAAATGGTTTGTGCCATCTCAGTTTCTCACCAAATGGGTTAAAATTTTGAGAGATTAGTCAGGATTCAATTTGAAATCGTATCACTCTAGTGACTCATTATACACCGACTCTACCAAATATATAATAAATTGTTTATTTGGAAAATAAAAGCATTTGCAAATTTGTCTCCAATTGAGCTCTCTGACGTTTATAACACGCACACTTGTGTAATTCCATTTTCAAGTGCGAAGTTTGTTATCCTCACTTTTGCTCCAGCCAAAAATGTTGAGTTGGTTGGAAATGCTAACATGAAGCTTTAGTGTGATAATTTATTAGCTAGAGAATGATCTTTAGAAGAGAGTAGGTGGATAGTTCCGTTAGAGTACGGCAGTATGAAAATTGAATAGAAGTTGAAAATGAGCGAAGGGCTAGGGGATGATGTAAAAGTATCATATTCTTTTCATCACCGCTGGCCATTGGCCAGCGGGGCAAACGACTGGGTAATGCGTACCACCAGTACCGCGAGTACTTGAAGGATAAAATAGACCCCATTAGTGGTCCATTAGCCTCTTACCCAGTAACTCCTATCCCTACCTCCTCGTGGTGTCTCCTGGGATATGAGCAACCTTAGCGAAGATCGGGTAACCAACCCCGGTGGGAGCTTTGGTCATATGCTGACAGGGAAGGGGGCCCCTAGCGGGTTCGGCCTACACGGCCTGAGCGTCTGTTCACCATGGAGGTGCGGCTCAAACAGCGTCTGACTGGCATCCAGCGGCTGAATAAGAAATGCTGTATTGTGTCAGCTAAATCTAAGATGGCAGCCCCATCTACACAATAACTGAGCGTCTGTCCACCATGGAGGTGCGGCTCAAACAGCGTCTGCCTGGCATCCAGCGGCTGAAACAAGAAATGCTTATCCCCGAAAGCTATACCCAAGATGGCAGCCCCATCACGGCGGATAGGAGACCTTAGGCTAACTACCTACTGTCCCCGAAACTTTACAACTGTTACAGAAACCAATAGAGAAAGATCACGGACTGATATTACGGCAACGACTTTTAGCGCAAAACAACGGACAAGAATTGGAACATGGAATGTACTAACGCTAGCCCAACAGGGGAAGCTGGCACAACTCGCCAGCGAGGCTCGACGCATGAAGCTCGAAATCCTGGGACTAAGCGAAGTCCGTTGGCCAAACTTTGGAGAACACAAGCTGCCGTCG